CTAAGGTCAGTTCTAGAAAATAAAGCCCTTGAACTTTCTGGCCTTTCAATTCACCTGCAGAATTGCATAGCCTGGGAAGCTTATGAAACAAAATCATTCAAGAGTAAGGAAATCAACTGTTAAAAGTTGATTCAAATCAATGTTAAAAGTCATTCAGATCTGACAGAGATTTTGTGAAAAAGCCAACTGTATCAGGGCTGTGTCAAACAGGAGGTATACCAGGCTAAGCATTGCCTTGCTCCTGCCTTCTCACCTTTGCTTTATGACACAGTATACTGACAGGTAGCCTCCAGCTTTGGCATCTCTCACTCAAATAAAGAATTCTCCAGCAAAGAGGTCACTGCACAACATCTCCTGTGGACTGAATTTGACTACACTATTATTTGAGGAGCAGATCACCCCGGAACTGAGCAGCCTGGTGAGGGCATCTCCAATGTCAAGAGCAGCTTACACTAAATGCTGTTCTCTTACCAAACATTTCCTAAAAAAAAAAAATCAAAAAGCAAACCAACCCAAAACAAAAAATTCCCAGCTCCTTCAGGGCTGCAGTCTCTGATTTAAAGGAAACTAGTGCAAGCTTCAGTTTGAATCCAACATTTTGATAAGTTCCTGGTAGAGAAGACAAAAACAGGTATGCTGCTAACCTAGTATGCTGTTTATAGCTGTAGTGAATGCATCTGAGTGCTCAGGGAAAGTGCTCTTGCTTTCCCTGCACAGCAAGGCACAGACACAGTTTTCAGAAACAAAACCCAAACTGAATATTTGTTCCTTGTTATCTTACTAAACTCTTCTGTTGACCTATCTTCCTGCTTTGCAAACATGTCAGGAGCTTTGACACACCATAGCAACAATATCTGAAGTTTAAAAGTGAGATTGTTTGCAAGCATGTGATCAGGTTTGAGAGGAACCTGCAGTCCCTAGGATGTACAATCATTTTACACACTATTCAGTTGAATCAGAACAGTCCATAATAAATATTTCCAGACAGAGCATTTGTTTTGGGTTTTCAGCCCAAGATACAGTAAAAGATGTTTTTGTTTTGTTTTTTTTTTCTTCTGACAGTGTGAAATGACTCATGTATGGCTGGTGATTTTTTGTATTTTTATGGCTTCCCATTGGTCACTCACAGTCCCTTTTTCTAGTCATTATGGCCTCTGAAACAGGAGGAAATTTCCAGAAAAGCACCTGAACAATCACTTGGCATTATGTATTTGGGCAACCTGTAATCTACTGAGTTGATTTTCTGGGTCACTGGCAGCTGGAAGGGTGAACGTGGAAGAGAAAAATACTGCAGGACTTCACCATAGGCAGGGAGCAGAGGACTAGTTTTTTGTTTGTTTGTTTGTTTGTTTTAAGTAACTCAACAGTGCTGCAACATGTACACACCCCTTCAGATAAGGTCTCCTGCAAATGCCAACAGGAGCAATGAAAACCATCATTCATGATGACAAATGGTTTCTACTTAGCAGGTTCCTTTCACATGGCACCAAAGGAAAATGCTTGCATTTCCTCTGCTGTGGAAAATGTCATGCCTCATTTCTTAATTGCTCTAGCCTGACCAACTGGCTGGGCTCTTAGACAAAATACGAAGAGAATTCTTGTTCCAAGTACTCTTGGGTGTCTACCCATGCTTGTGCTGGCAGGGGTTGGCAGTGCCTGACAGTGCTCTGTGGGAGAGATCACCAGCCAAATGCCCTTCTGATGCACAGGGAGTGCCTGGAGGGCAGGCTCCTGGCAAAAGTGACCCTCAGAAACTGCATACAGAGGAGATAGCTCAGCATGAAGTTGTCCTCACACATAGAGGACAAGACAAACTGAACTGAACACCGCTGCTAAACAGGGGCTGCAACTGTCCCTCCTTCTGCTCATTTGTTTCCTGGGTGTAAGAGGCCTGGGTGTGGTGGCGGTAGCTGTGAATTCATGTAATTTTGGGGAAAATCTGAACCATACAGTACTTCATTTGCATTTGTCTACCACAGCTGTGACAAGCAGAGAACATGTTCTTCACAGCTTTGAGTGTGATGCCTGGCTTTGATTGCTAAAAGCCACAGATATCCTATGCGGGCAAATACACACAGGTAGAAGCAGAAAACCTAATCCAAAGTAGTCATGCTTTGAAATTTTCTTTGAATGGATGTAAGAAGAAGAGGTGAGATTTTAAATCGTCACTTGTTACTACTGTTTGGAAAACCTCAGTGACAAGCAGTCAAAACCTCCAAGCAGTCTTTACTCTCTGTGTAGCAAAGTGAAATTATATTGTCACCAATGCTGTCCTCAGCAGGCTGGCTGCAGAAAATGAATTTAGGATTTATTACATTGTAATACAGTATGTATAGGAAACAGACTTATAGAGGCATGTCATGGAACCTGTCCTAGATCAAAGTGTATTAGATGTGATGCCAGGTCTTGGCATGTGTAAGGCCTGAGTTTCTCTGAGTATCAGTGGCAGACTCTTTCTTATTTCCACGCAAAAATAAAACAGGAGACTTTTTTTTGTCTTCTCTATATTGTTTTCTCCTGCAGGGAAACCAGAACAGGGTCCACGGTCTCATGCCCATAGCAGTGACTACTTGCAAAGCATCTCAGTGAGTCTAACAATACTGTAGTATTTCTTGGCACACCGCACTCCCCTGACTGTGGAGCGCTTGTTTGCTCCCCAGTGACCATGGCGTATGAAGTGCACTCAGCCTGGGACCTTGCCTAACACCCTACTGTTTTAAGAGACACACAAGTCCTCAGAAAGTGTAGCTTTTCACTTTGTTAGTGCATAGACCTTTGCCAAGGCTGTGATGCTGTTTATCCCATTCCTGTGTCCTGTTCCTGTTCCCCCGAGTGAAGAACTGTGCACCAGCTGCTTTGTCTGGTGCCAGACAGGGCAGCTGAGGAGACAGAGTTTACTCACCCCCTCCCCACCATCTGAGCGAACAGTGAGTTTTCCACTTGGTTTGCTTTATGGTGTCACAGCTAATAGAGATTACCTCTCCTCTGTAGCTTGCCTGCTGCTCTTTACATCACTGTGGCTATAACGAGTCTCCTTTTGAACAGACATTTACCTTAGCAGCTGGGGCACACACATGCTGCAATCTGTCCAGCCAGCAATGGAGGCTCACAAGTACAGTGCTTGTTGCTGGCATATTCCTGCATTGATTCCTGATGTAGGAACCCATGGGATCAGTATTTTGTGCATTTTCAGGCTGGCTGGTTTAGGCATTTGTTGATGGCACCTTTTTACTACAGGGACTCCACTGCCAAGTGATTTTCTGTGTCTTCACAGAGGAGACAAGAACCTTTTTACATTATCCAAGATTAATACTTCAGGTGACTCTGGATGTTTTTTAAAACACCATGAGTGCAGTTTGCAAGACCATGAGCCTAGGACAGGCCATTAATTCTCTGAACTGATTAACATCTAGTTTCTGTACTGTGTGCAGAGATGTAAGGAAGAAAAGCTTTTTTTCTGATAGGAATGAACATTTAGAATACTACTTTTCTATTGTGGACAATCAAAAGAGAAGACTGGAACTAAATTTTTTGTAATGGAAATTGATATAATGTAGATAAAGTACTTTAAAAATGCCAATTTCCTGAATTTCACATTCATATGTAAAAATGAAACCCAAATGAAAAATGCTTTTATATAACTCCTCATGACTGACTGACTTTGAATTGTACAGTCACAGCCATAAGGCTAGAGAGTCCCCTTTATCACCCCCAACCTTCAAAATGCTGAAAGAAAATACCATCAGAAAAAGAAGGGCTGAAGCAAGATCTTTGGAGCTGAGACACCTCAGCTAAAACCAGAATTGCTTCCTGAAATTTATTTGAAATTAGCTGCAGGAAATCTCTGCTCTTTCATTTGTGTAGAGGACTTTGAGAATATTGATCTCCTTCCAGTTCAATGAAGTTGGTAACATTTCAAAACAGAAAGCTGCTTAGCCTGTCTGAGTGGCTGCTGCCTGCTTGCAGGAACATCACAACTGACTGGACATGCCACTTGTATGGCATGAGCTGAGGGATCACACTTTCAGGATCCTGCTTACCTCTACAGGGAGAGCACGTGGTGTACTACACATTTTCAGAAAGATTGTGAGAGATTTAAAAGCTTTGAGCATTTGAGGTCTCTGTCAAATTACTTTGCAACTGCACAAATGTTTCCGCCTCTCTCTCTCTCTCTCTATTTGTCATTCCCTGCATGACAGTGACAGTGTATCAGAAACCAGCCCATAATATGATTTATGGAAAAGGTAGGATGAAGAAAGGTGCACATGTGTGTTTACCTGTTTGCTGTGTTGACGGGGGGAAGGTGGTCAAATTTTTCTCCTGTCTTGTTTTTACCATGTAGATGAAAGAAATCCTGTCTATATATATCATGGTTTATCACAGAGAATCCTCCTCATGATGAAAAAAAGGATTTGGATTATTGTGTTAAAATTTTCCATGGGTCAAATCTCCAATTCTATAAAAGCATGTTGCAGTCAAGACAATTAGAGGTCTGTGCCTCCAGGTTTTGCTTTTATGTATTTCTAAGCTCATCTCAGGCAGACTCTTTCAACTGCAGTGCATGGTAAAAATATGATGGGAGAAAAGGCCAATGCCATTATAATTTCTAATGAAAAAGTGTAAGTGCAGTGATGGTAGCTTTGAATGCTGCACATGGTCTTGAGTTATCACAAACCACATAGCTCTGAGAAGAATGTATCATTAATAATTTGTAGTAACACATGGCTTCTAATTGATTGAATTCTTTTTTCTGTTTAAAAAAAATACATAATTAATCTCCTTGCAGCTCACATTGTGTCAGAGATGGCTGTGCTTTTAGGAGGATATTCACTCCTCCAAAGTGTCAAAGCATGTTCTCCTGTAAGGAGGATGCTTAGCCCTAGACAGACTGCTTTCATCTCTGATAGCCTGATTAAGAGGAAAAGCATGTCTCCTAGATGAGAGATCAGATTTGTTATGCTGAATGGGTGCCAAAGAGAAGAGGACAGCAGGTAACTTACCACGTCAATTATCTGCAGCAAAGAAAGCTGGAGCTCAACTACCAGGGGCTGGGAGTCGTTCACTACTGGTCGTTCCAGGCGATTGTAGTTCCTCAGCAGTTCTCTGTACAAGCGTCTCTGGCCTTCACCCTGATGAGAGACTAGAGGAAAACAAAGAAGGTTTCTGTCATTGAGGCTGGTCACACTGTCACAATGGTTTGTCTGGTTTTTTGAAAAAACCTCTCTTAATAGCCTTGTAATTTGAAAGCAGTTCCTAAAAATATGCCCTGAATTCTGCACATGGATGTGACATATGCTTTGCTGCATATGTGAATGATGAACTCTTAAAAAAATTAACTACTAACACTCTAACTTCTCACTAACATTCAGAAACTACTGAACAAAATTTAGGGCAGTGAGTGAATATATCCTTTCCTTGGAATCCCTCCTGCTGATGGTCAGTAAAATCGTGGCTCCAAAACCACTAGATAATATTTTGCTTTTATTTGCTTGTTCTTATTTCCTAGAGAAATAAGAAGCCAGTGTAAGCCAGCACTGATATTACTTAGACATACTGTGCATTTACCCAGCAGGTGTAACAGGTATTCTTATTTTTTGGAGCTGATGTATCAGGCCTTTTTTGATGCTCAAGAAACAGTAACAACCCTCCTTCAAACCCCTTTCAGTTCTGTGTAGCAGTCTTTCCAGGCTTTGGAAATCAGTCTTTCCCTTGGCTATTTTCCTTCTGATGGCAGCACACTTTGTTAACATCTAAGGGGGTGGGGGTATGAAGGCTAGAGTATTTGATGGCTGTGTACAGTGACACTGAATTTCTGGTACTACACGCTTAACTCAGTTTCCACTGTGAACATACTCAACACAGAAGCCGTCATACAAACAACTGAGCATGTTAAAGACTAGCAGAATTGCAGTCTATGCTTAAATTCCAAGATGCTCTTGTTCCCCAACTGGAACTCTTGTTCCAGAGTGGATGTGGAGAGCACCCATCTAGCCTGCATGACCAGGTTTCCTTCCACAACAGCCGTAGATGGTGAAGGTTTGGATGTCTTCCCTTAGGAAGGCAAGCAGTTTGCTGCAACACGCTGCTCAGGACCCTGGTTCCCCCAGAACTGTGTAGGTGTTGGTGCTATGGTTAGTAGCAGCCTGAGCTCTACCTAGGAGCTGCACATAGCAGAATGAGGGTCATGGACTGCAGGTTTCCTGCAGTCAAACCAGTCCTGTCAGCATGAATACTTCCCTGAACTATACAGATTCAATCTCTGACAGAGAATCTTAATTCTAAATCATTATTACTTTGGACTGAAGCATTTTTTGTCCACTGCAGCTCCCGGTCTCTTTGTGTGACTTTTTTCAACTCTTGAGCAAAGCTCTGCACATTGAGAACATAACTTCTCTAACAGAGGTTATGATGATTATCTTCTTGATGACGCAAAAACCTCATAACAACCAGTTCTGCCTTTCCCAAACTCTTACTGTGCTCACCAAACCTTGCAAGACTGAAACAAGCTGCCCTCCAACACAGCAGTCATGTCTTTTAAAGCTAGTAATAAATTCAATTTAAAAACACTTCATAAGTCTGTTTAACTTGTGTTCTCTTCAGTTTTCCTGATACTCAAGGAAGCCTTGTGGCAATGCTCAGTAAACAAGGAAGAAGAGGATTTTTGTTTACTTTGGTAAGATACACCAACACATCAACTTCCTGAGCCCTCTCTCCTCTTTTGTAATTTACTACATGATCATGGGCATCCAGAGGAGCAGATGCTGTAAGCACTGTCTCAAGAGCCCTTGCTGGCACATCAGTATTGTATGCTATGTTTTCACCAATGGCAAAGACAAGCTCTGGGCACAGTATCTCTCCTTCAGCACCTTAAGTAAGCTTCCCTCCTTACTTAAATAGTGACTTAATTACTCTGTTATTGCCTTAATACTTTCCTCAGCAGGCCTGGACTCCACTGTAAGAGCCGTCTGTGGAAAGGAAACCCATGAAAATCTCTGCACATGGTTCTTGGAAAAGAGGCTCTGTGTTTGGAGCAAATTTGATGTCCTTTCACTCACATATCCAGCCATGTTCCTGTGCTTTAGGGAAGAAATGTCTTCCTGAACTATTGCTCTCATCTTCAGTACTTACATAATATGTGCCTTTAACCTTCCTTTTAAACTGGCTGTCTCAGCTTCTACAAGGGAAAAGTGCCCTTCACCAGTCTCTGGACTCAACTGGGCTGCTAGAGTGCCCTGATACTGTCGCTGTCATGGTGCATTGAAGCAGCCTCCCAAGGGAGGTCTGACTTGGAGAAATCTGTGCATAACCCTTTGCTGTATGTTTTGGAAAGCTGTCTTTGCACTGTGTGCTTCAGTCACCCCTTTTCCTGTTATACTTGGTGAGGCAAAGTAGCCCAGAACTGAATCTGGTTTTCCATCCTTTCTTCAACTCTCCCCTCTGTAACGTGATCCTAATACTTCTAAATCTCTTGTATGCAGAATTGTTAACATTGTCTTAGCTGATCTATCCTAAGCCTGCTGAAGTGGCATTGGTGACCACATATTAGTGTGCTGTATGGTTTTGCTTTCAAAATGACATAGATTCAGAAGCAATGGAGCCTTGGGGTGTCCTGGCAAATAGCCACAGCAGCTGTTGGTACCACAAAGACCTGGCTTGTGTAATAACTGCCATCTCTGTGCTACAGCTGCTCTGGAGAAGGAACCGAGGTGGATGTCTATTCTGACTTGTATGTTCATAGACTTTTTCTTTAAATTGCAATCTTCAAATACTTAGTGTTTCATACTCCAGAGAGATTTCTGCTTTTTTTTTCCCCTATAATGCTTGTGCTAATGCATTGTGACACAACATCTCTGTGTGCTAAATGGAGTGTTTGCTGGTGATGGGGAAGTCTGAATCTCTCAGGAATAGTGGTAGAATAAGCTTTACCACTGACTACCCCTTAGTCACAGAAATTTAACCATAAGCAGTGGCACTGTTTTAAGGCTAGAAGATGGATGCCAATGTTCAAGGTTGTCAAGTTAGTCTCCCAAAACCAATGCCAGACTTACTTGCCTATGTGTGCTACTGGGAAGTAAAAGTAACTGGCAAAGGGCATGATGCTTTCTAGATAAGGGATCTTTGAGCAACAGAGAGCCTTTATGTCCCACTGCCTCAGACAGTGTCCCCCTGTTTCTGAAATACCTTTGACGCAGTAGGAAAACATAAAATCTCATTAAAACATGAGGCAAAAGCAGTGTATGATGCTTACCTCAAGTTTAGAAAGACTTTTGACACCGTCTCTGAAAAATCCTCATAGACGTTTGTCTGTGCCTTACAGGTTCAATGAGTGAGCAGTGAGGACGATAGAAAAGTGGCTGAACTGGGTTAGAGGGTTGTAGGCAGCAGCACAAAGTTCAGCTGAAGGCCAGCCAGTGGTAGAGTACTCCAGGGGTGGATATTGGGGCCTATGCTATTTAACATCGTTATGAATAAAGGGACAGAGTGCACCCTCAGCTAGTTTTCAGATAGCACAAAACTGGAAGGAGTGGCTGATGCAGCACATTGTTTTGCTGCCACTCAGAAGGATCTTAAAAAACTGGAGAAATGGCTGACAGAAACCTCACAAATATCAATGAAATAAAGTGTAAACTCCTGCACCTGAGGAGGAGTAACCCCAGGTACCAGAATAGGCTGGGGCTCAGTGGCTACCGAGCAGGTTAGCAGAAAAGCCCTGAGGAACCTTATAGATACCAAGTTGACCATAAGCCAGCAATGCACCCTTGTAGCAAAGGTCATCAGCATCCTGAATTGCAACAGGAAAATCCACACAAGCAAGTAAAGAGAGGTGATCCTTTCTCTCTACTCAGCACCAGGGAGAAACACCTGGAGTGCTGGGCCCAGTGCTGGGCTCATCAGTACAAAAAAGACATGGAATTACTAGACAAAGGACTGGATTGTGTCTCAAGATTTGTTCTCTAAATAACCTGAAATGGCTCCCTAAACTGCTCCTGGAGTTTGCAGACAACTGGGAGGCACAAGGCAACCAAGTCCCTGATGGTTCTGTGAAGAGCTCTATGGGAAACAGTTATTCATGGAGCACATTAAACTTTTAAACACCTTTCTGAATTCGCTCCCGTGCTTCTGCATGTGCAAAGAAGTATGTAAGAAGCCCACTGTTTGAATGACATGACCTATAAACTGTTACCAGTCTTTTGGGAATACATGCTATAGTTGCATTTCATCCTTCTTTCCAGAACACAATTGCTTAGAATTGTACAGCAAGGGAACCTGCAGCTAGGCTCTGGCCAGATTACCCATATGGCATCCCCAGGAAGCACAGATGCTCCCTCCTTTCTTAGGAGCTCTGCTGTCATGCCTGGTCGTAGCTGGTCGATGTTCCTGCTTTGCTTTGCATGCCAAGGTCCCTGAGCTATGAGGCAAGAGTCCAGCCCTTCCAGTTCCCCAGGCCAGATCAAAAAGTGGTCAGCTCCCTGACTGAGAATCCCTGGTGCCGGACACATTCTGGCTCGCTGTGCACAGTTAAGAATAAATAATGAAATATTAACAAGAGGACAGGTGGAATAACATGGATTTTCATTAGATTTTGAGCAACGGTACCTCTCTTAATCAATCATTCCACCTCTGTTTCATACTGTTCCCTGGTACGCTTTTCATAATCTTCCAACTATTTTGTGGTGGGCAGCTGCTAGTTGTTTCCTAGTTGTTGCTCATGTCTTTTGGCAGAGACCTGAGCCTTACACATAAGTCGTTATTTTATTCATACAAGACTATCGTCACTTAAAGGACTTGTGGTTTTCAGGTGAAATATCATATTCTTCCTGTATCAGTTTATATTTATATATATGCATGCCAACATGTCTCTGAATTAGAAATTGTCTCTGTTTTTTTCTTCCCTTCTCAAAAACAGTTCTAGAATAATTTTCATATACAATCCTTTTGCAGAACGTAGTAAGTTACAATCACAGAATACTCCTTGGCAATCTGTGGTGGGGGAAAAAATGTTTTCCCCCTGAAGTTATAAAGTGGTAACCCCCCAGGGAGTGGTGACCCTTGAGGTTGAGCCAATGAGCACTTCTGCAAAATATAAACATATCACCCAGACCGGAAAAGAAGAGTTGTTGCTGTAGTTGTTGTGGGAGA